GCGTCGCCGCTTGAGGCGTCGCCGCCGGGTCCATCACCTCAATAAAGTAGGTAATGGCAGAGATAGGCTCGTTTGGTGCGTGATCGATGTGCGCGTAGTCTGCGTACTCGATAGCTGGATGAGGATTTGAGCCGTAAAGAGCGTCGGAGGCACTGGATCCCTTTCCACTTCCCTTCTGCGGACAATTCCGTATCAAGTGATCCGTGCCCCCACATGCATGACACTTCATTCGCTGACCCTCGCGCCCGATCGGATTCTTCTTACGACCCTTACCCTTACCAATCGTTATCCTACCTCTGCTCTTACCTTTGCCTCCAAAGAACATATATTCATACTGCTCGTCGGTGAGGTCGGCAAGAAATTGACTGATACCCCTACCGTGCAGTCGCCTGTTCCTACGCCCCCCCTTTCCACGACCCTTCCCCTTCCTACGAAACACCTTACGTATGAACCGACGTACCCGGCGTGTAGGTTTCTGCATGTAACGTCGCCATCTGCGTTTGGCATGTTGTAAACTCAAGAACAAACGCTCTGCTGCTAGGTCGTCGGGCATATGCATTACATCTGACATGTCCAGGCCCTCCTGGCCGTCGGATGATTCGGTGTCGGTGTCGGTGCCAGAGTCGTCGGATTGGCCGGCGTCGCTAGCACCCCACAGGGTGGTGTCGTGTTGGGTAGGCGTCGCCGCTGAACGTGTGGCGTCAGCGGTGATAGGTTGTGCCCATTGGCCAGTGGCATGTGCGGTTGGTCCTGGCGGCGGCTGTGAGCTGAGAAGTGCTGTTGTCTCGGTGGAGGTGTCTCCCCAGATGATACCTGCGGGGTCTGGCGCCGTCGCCGGTTCAGCCGCAGTATGGAATGTGAGGTGGGCCGCGTCGCCGCGACCCCGCCCCATCACATGGCCAATGTTGCCAGGTGCGCGCTCGGCCAGGTGGCCGAAGCTGCGCATCCGTTCAAACAGGTCATCCCACTGCTGTTGTGTTCGTGGCATCTGGTGCTGTAGTGGTTGTAAGAGCATGGCCATGCGTGGAGTGCCTACTCCGAGAGCGCGGAAAGGGATGGTAGTGAGTATCTGGAAGTTGGGGATTTGGGATCCCACTGACTCTGCTTCCATCCGTGCTATCTCGAAGCGTGATAGTGACACGTCAATGCGCTCTCCTGTTGGGACTCTGAAGTCGAAGAGTTGCGTGCCTAGTGTCAGGGCACGTTCGTCCTCGAGATTCTCGAATTTGGCAGCGAGGACGAACATGATGTATGTGAGTCCGTCTGTAGGCTGCCCTTGGGTCACCGCCCCGCGCGTGATGATGCGAGGCGGGACCCCCATGGCGATGGTGCGTGCCTGGCCGCCCAGGCCACGCTGTAGAGCAGCTGCCTGCTGAGGCGGTGAGAGCCGCCCGTTGGCTACGTTGAGCCAGGCGTGCACCTCGCGTTGGAAGTCTGAGAATGACACGTTGCTTGCTGGGTCCCAGTAGGGACCTTGCATTCGGCTCGTGTCGTCGTTGTTCCTGTTGCGGTGCATCATGCACCCAACAGCCGTGCACGAAGCAAGACAAGCCCCGAAAATTGTTATTGGTAGAATTCGGTGCACCTTGTTTATGGGAGTTATCTCTTGCTTGTGGTTAGGCTTGTTGGGCAGCGCAGCCGTCGCCGGCTTAGGCCTGGACGGCGTGGTAGTGCTGCCGCTTAAGGGAGTATGGTACAACTGTGCTGCTGCAATGAGGTTCGAGTCCTTCACGTTCGTGAGAGAAAGGTTCTTCTCCTTAACACTCGTGAAAGAAAGGTTGCCGGTCGGTAGCGTTGTCTTCGACATCACATACGTCTTTGACGTCCCCGTGGCATTCCCGGAGCCGTCTCCGGCTGAGTTCTCATTGCTGTACTCTGCTGTACCGCGCAGCGGTGGTGGGTCGCCGTAGTTATACAAAACCAAGAGCAGAGCTAGCAACATAGTCTACCTGCTGCCAGCTCCGCTACCAAGTCGGAAGTAGACGCCAAGGCGAGAAACATAGGAATGAGGAGTAATGGTAAGAGGGGGTGAAGAGGAGGATGGTAGCTGGGGAGCTACCATCTCTTTTCTCTCCACGAAAAATACAGTTCGGTGAACTGTAAGCATATGATGGAGCTGCGCAGCTTGGGCCAAACGGCAACGCCCCCCTCCCCGCCCCCCACTTGGCCCCGACACCCCCCTGCTCATGGGCTCTGTTCTTGGGACCCCCGACCCCGCGATGTCTCGCCCAAAATCGACCAGCGCCCCCCTCCCCGCCCCCCACTGGGTCCCGACACCCCCCTGCTCATGGGCTCTGTTCTTGGGACCCCCGACCCCGCGATTTCTCGCCCAAAATCAGCCAACGCCCCCCTCCCCGCCCCCCGCTTGGCCCCGACACCCCCCTGCTCATGGGCTCTGTTCTTGGAACCCCCGACCCCGCGAATCCTCGCCCAAAATCGACCAGCGCCCCCCTCCCCGCCCGCCACTTGGCCCCGACACCCCCCTGCTCATGGGCTCCGTTCTTGGGACCCCCGACCCCGCGATTCTCAATCAAATCGACCAGCGCCCCCCTTTCCCCGCCCCCCCCCCCCCCCCCCCCCCCCCCCCCCCCCCCCCCCCCCCCCCCCCCCCCCCCCCCCCCCCCCCCCCCCCCCCCCCCCCCCACCCCCCCCCCTCCCCCCCCACACACACTTAGGCCCCGACACCCCCCCTGCTCATAGGGCTCTGTTTCTTGGGACCCCGACCCCCCCCCTCGCGATTCTCGCCAAAATCCGACCAACGCCCCCACTCCCCGCCCCCCATTGGCCCCCGACGCCCCTGCTCATGGCGCTGTTCTTGGGACCCCGATCCCCGGAGTTCGCCGCCCAAAATCGAACCAACGCCACCCCTCCCCACCCCCCACTTGGGCCCGACACCCCCTGCTCATGGGCTTCCTTTCTTGGCGGCCCCCGGACCCCGCGATTGTCCCGCCCAAAATCGCCCAACGCCCCATCCCCCGCCCCCCACTTGGTCCCGGCGCCCCCCTGCTCATGGGCTCTGTTCTTGGGACCCGCGACCTTGCGATTTCTCGCTCAAAATCGACAAACGCCACCCTCCCCGCCCCCCGCTTGGTCCCGACACCCCCCTGCTCATGGGTTCCGTTCTTGGGACCCCCGACCCCGCGATTTCTCGCCCAAAATCGTCCAGCGCCCCCCTCCCCGCCCCCCGCTTGGCCCCGACACCCCCCTGCTCATGGGCTCTGTTCTTGGGACCCCCGACACCGCGATTTCTCGCCCAAAATCGACCAACGCCCCCCTCCCCGTCCCCCACTTGGCCCCGACGCCCCCCCAGGCCCCTGCTCTGGGCTCTGTTCTTGGGACCCCCGACCCTACAATTCTTCCCTCCAAAAAAAAACGACCAACGCCCCCCCTCCCCCCTTCCCGCTCCCCACTTGGTCCCGACACCCCCAAGCTTCTGGGCTTCTTGGGACCCCCGACCCGACGATTTTTCGCCCAAAAACAACCAACGCCCCCCTCCCCGCCCCCCACTTGGCCCCGACACCTCCACGCCTCTGGGCTCTCTTGCTGGCACCCCCGACCCCACGACTTCCGTCCAAAAGCGACCAACGCCCCTCTCCGCGCCCCTCACTTGGTCCCGACACCCGCAGGCCTCTGGGTTCTGTTCTTGGAACCCCCCACCCCACAATATTTCGCACAAAAACGACCAACGCCCCCCGCCCCGCCTCCCACTTAGTCCTGACACCCCCAGTCCTCTGGGCTCTGTTCTTGGGACCCCCGACCCCGTGATTTTTCGCCCAAAAACGACCAACGCCCCCCTCCCGCGCTCCCCGCTTGGTCCCGACACCCCCAGGCTCATGGGCTCTGTTCTTGGGACTTCCGACTCCTACGACTCCTCGCCCAAAATCGACCAACGCCCCCCTCCCCGCCCTCCACCTGGTCCCGACACCGCCAAGCCCATGGGCTCTGTTCTTGAGCCCCCGACCCTACGATTTCTCGCCCAAACACGACCAACGCCCCGCTCCCCGCCCCCCACTTGGTCCCGACACCCCCAGGCCCATGGGCTCTGTTCTTTTGGGGCGGGACCCCCCGACCCACGATTCTCGCCCCAAATTCGACCAACGCCCCCCTCCCCGCCCCCCACTTGGTCCCAACACCCCCAAGCCTCTGGCTGGTGTTCTTGGGACCCCCGACCCCAGAAATCCCCCCTCCCCCCCCCCTTCCCCAAAACACGTCCTACGTCCTTTTCCCCGCGCCTCACTTGGCCCCGACACCTCCAGGCCTCTGGGCTCTGTTCTTGGGACCCCCGACTCCACGATTCCCCTGCCAACATCGACAGATACCCCGCACCTGGCCCCCACCTGGCTCCCACCTGGCCACCACCTCCTTCCGACACCCGACCCCACGATTTCTCGCCCAAGAACGACCAGCGCCCACCTCCACGCCCCCCTCCCCCCCCCCCCCCCCCCCCCCCCCCCCCCCCCCCCCCCCCCCCCCCCCCCCCCCCCCCCCCCCCCCCCCCCCCCCCCCCCCCCCCCCCCCCCCCCCCCCCCCCACCCCCCCCCCCCCCCCCCCCCCCCCACCCCCCCCCCCCCCCCCCCACCCCCCCCCCCCCCCCTCCCCCCCACCCCCCCCCCCCCCCCCCACCCCCCCCCCCCCCCCCTCCCCCCCCCCCCTCCCCCCTCCCCCCCCCCCCCCACCTCGCCCCGGCACTCTCTCCCACGGAGCCTTTGTTTTTAAGACCCACGACGCCGCGATTTCTCGGCTTGGCTCTGGGCATTTGCGCGTGCAGGTCAGCCATTTGTGTTTGCAGCATGGCTCCAAGGGCATTTGTCTGCAGCTTCGCTCTCGGCATGTGTGCGCAGCCTGGGTCCAGGCATTCGTGGGCCGTCCGTTTAGCCGATCCACATGTTGAGGCTATCACGGTTCTCAATACTCGGCAGCATGCCTCTAATACTCTCTCCGCGACTTGGTTCACGACTACGACGAGCGTTCGTCGTTGCTCTTTTCGGAATCGGAGGCACCTATCCAGCCTTATGCTTTTTCGTTACCGACGCATGGGTCCGCTCGGCGACTTCCTTCCGTTTGCGCTCTTGGCCAGCACAACATATGTTGCATCTCTGCTTGCCATTCGCCTTCTGCGTCGATCGTCCAGCCGACCAGTTGCTGTAGTGCTCCCTCCCGAAAGCGCCCTTACATTCTACACATTTCCACTTCCCTCGCTCCAGCTTTGCGCCATCGATGCAGCGCTTGCACTTGCGGTGCTGATCTCCCGCGCACTCCCACATCCAATTCGAGAAGTATTCACGCCGCTGCGCTACCTCGCACACCACGCAGGCCCTCACGTCCTTCCTCGCATTTGTGTTCCGCTGTGCAGCCCCAGCGCTGACGCAGCGCATGCATTTGCGGTCACGATCGGCCGCTCCATTCCGCATTTTTTGCGAGAAGAAATCACGCCGTTGCGCCACCTCGCACACACCACAGGCCTTCACGTCTTTCCTCGCCGCCGAGTCCCGGTGGGCGGCCGCATCCTGGACGCACTGGGTACATGCAATGGTCTCTTTGGAGGCGATGCACCACATGTGAGCGGAAAACTCCGCCTTACTCTTCGACTCCACACATTTCGAGCATACCCTCCGTTTCCCTTCCTCGGCGCGCTGTCTTTCTTCCTCTCTCATTGATTTCTTACACGCTTTGCACTTCCGCTCCTCTGCGTTCCTCTCAATCCTCGCAAAATCGTCCACCAACTTCTCCATGCCGCAGCGGGAACGCGTCAGGTGCTTCTTCAGCTCCTCGCACTCTTTGCACATCCCCCCTCTGCACCGGCTGTTCCCTGCAAGGTCCCACTGGTACGGCGCGAACGCTTCTTCGTACTTCCGACCATCACACACGCGGCAACTCCGTCTCTCGGGGCAGTCCACGCAACGCCGCGTGGTCAACTTCGACGGGTGGTGCTGTGACGCGTGGAACGCCTCCTGGCACTTCCATAGACCACACTCCATGCATTGCCACGGCGTGCCGGACCTCTTCTTATCTTCCAGGCACACGCTGCGCACGCGGAGCCCATCTGCGCGGCTCCACTGCCCGACCGTTGGGTACATGTTCTCGTACTTCGTGCACCCGCAGACCGCGCACCTGCCAGACGGCATGAACTCCAGCTCTATCGCCTCCCAGTCCAAGTCTTCTCCGCGCAACGTGCGCAACAACAAGCCTGGGCCCTTCCGTTCGTCCTTCTTCTGATACGGCGCAATGTCGAAGGGGCGAAAGATGAGCATGTCCTCACGGCGCTGCACCCGCGTCAGTGCCACGTAGCTCGACAGAGGTGACGTGCCCCCGCCGATGCTCAGGTCCACTATGACACCCTCCTTAAAAGTTTGCCCCTGCGCCGCATGGGCCGTCACGCCGAAGGCTGGAGCCAGCGGGAACTGACGCCTTTTCACCTTCAGCCGCGGGTGCGGACGACCTTTGTCCACGAACCACTCCTCCTTTTGCGGAACCACCGGGTGCAAGCCGGGCGTCCTCAATCCCCCGATCGTCCACTTGCACGGCTTCCGACCGCCCTTTCCGTCGTCGCCTTCGTCGAACAATACAAAAATCACTTTCGGGGTTTTCTTCAGAATGGTCTCACCTCCCCGCGTGACCTGATCGTGCTCTGCGTCCCCGTCGCAAACCCAAGACTGAACGCGGCCGACGCGACCGCGCAGGAGGTTCTTGTCCTCGCTGCGATCGATGTGATCAGTCAGAGCGACTGGCATGCCCTCTGCGAGGGGCAAGAAGCCGTACAGGTCTCCGCTCTCCTTGTCGTGTCGTTGGAGCCATGCCATTTTCTGCTGCGGCAGATCTGGTCGCTCGCGGAGCGCCTCCGGCGTCGGCGTATCCCGCGCAGGGATGTGCACCATCGGCTTCCCGTGCCTGCGCGCGTACTGCGACGCTCGGAGCTTGTTGGCTTCATACTTCACGTCGTTGTTCGGAAACACGCCCGGGGCAATGAGGAACTTCTCCGACTGCAAACGCGGGTCGTCCGGGCCATCCACCACCAGACGACGCCGCGCACGTTCCCTTCTACACACCTGACACTCCTGTTGGCGGATCTCTTTCGTCGTTGTCGTGCGTCTTCGACGTTGACCTGCTGCACCCGCCACTTCACCTTGCGCGCCGTCGCACAACTTCCGGCATGCCCGATTGCGGCAACCCACGTCGCCGTGCAGCCAGCTCCCCGTCACAGTGGTGTCCTTGCCATGCAAGAACGCGTGCGCGTTCGCCGACAGCACCCCTGTACGGAATTCTTCCTGCACCTCCTTCAGCCAGGCGTCGTCTCACCGCTCGCACTCCTCCAGCTCGGTCACGCCCTGCACGCCGCACTCGGCCCCACCCCAAAGTAGAGATTGACCATGAAGCACAGGTGGCAGGGATGTGTACTTGCGCGCCGCCGAGATGCGTTCGGTGGGGACGTCCGCAAGGAAGCCTCCGTCGGGTGGGGCCAGTTGCCAAAAGGCACCACTCAGCACGACGTTCAAACCGCCGAACGGGCGCGGCACGCCTCCGTCTCCGCGCTTCGTGGTGCCCACATCCCGGATGACCCCTCGCAGTTTCGCGTCTACTTCTGCCAGGAGCCTGGCGCTCACCATGCTGATTTCGTCGATGAACAACCACCGCCACTGGAGCACGCGTTTAGCAGTCTCGTACTGCAACTTCACATCTTCCCCCTTCTCTTCTCCACGCTTGATAGCTGGTATGCCGCACGCATGGTGGATGGTGCCCCCTCCTAGCAACTGCGCCATGACGGCTTGCAGGGCGGTGATTTGAAAGTTCACCCCGATACTCCACTTCATCAACCCCTCGAACAGCTCGTGGCGAAGGATGCGCAACACGTGTGATTTGCCCGTTCCAGGGCCCCCGTGCATGCACCATTGCAGAGGTTCCCCCATGGCCGTTTCATCCATTCCCTCGCCATCGATCTCCTGCATCACTCGGCGCGCCACCTTCTTCACCATCTCGAACTGCTTCGCGTTCACTGCGCGCCGCCCCGTGTCCTTGTCCACCCGGAACTCAAGGTCCGCGAGCCATCTCGCCACGTCTTCCGACGTGGCCGCCGTGCCCGCGACAACGACTCCTCCCTCGGCGTCTGCCACCCTGTCGGCCATCGAACACTCTTTATTTCGAGACTTCCGCGCTTCTCGCAGCACCATCTCCAGGTCACAAGCCTGCTCTGCTGGCCACGAGCCTGTTACCTCGCTGAGCGGCGTTTCGCCGTCCCGAAGCCCCCACGCCTGCTGCGCTACCGCCATGCCCCCTTTTGAATTGTCGTAGTGCGACGTGCCTCCAGCTCCCTGGCCGGCGTCTGCATCCCCCTCCCCGCTGGTGCTGTCTCCGTCCCCGTCCTTTCGTCGCTTCCCGCCCACGCGCGACTTCAGCGCCTCGTCGAGCTGCTCGAAGCCCACGTCTAATTCAACATCGCTCACGTCTTCGTCGCTCCGCTCTTCTTCTTCGTCAGCATCGCGTGGCCGGACGCGATGCACACTCAGGAAGTTCCCCACGTACCGCGCGGCCTCCTTCGTCTGCGCTCCGCCATCCAGCCACGCCGCCATGGCTGCATCCCACGTCGACGCTTCGCCGCGCAGGTTCCCTGCGAACACCACGTGTTCGTCCGCCACGTCGGGCCTCAGAGTCCACGGGTGGAAGTACGTCATGACAATGCGCGCCGACCTCTCCGCTTCCCCTGGACGTCCGCGCGGCACGGGCGCTCCGAAAAAGGTTGGTGCCATGGGCCTTTTATTCCGCTTGAGAACCCACGTGTGGCGAATGTGGGCGCACCCTTCGGTGTCTGGATACGGAACCCAATCGTTGCCTCCGTCATCCTTCACCGCGTAGTCAACCCCGGGCACCAAATCCTCCTCCAGACACACGCCCCCTCGCCTCTCACGCAGTTTGTCCTTGCCCAACTGCGTCAAGACTGCATGATGGCGTGGGTGTTCTGCATCCGCGACTCGCGTCGGGTACGACAGCAACACCGGCGTCCAGTACGTTGCGAACTCATATGGGGATAAATGCCACACGTCGGGCCTCTTCGGGCGCAGCCCATACAACATGCCCACATCTCGAACAGTCACCTTGCGGCGTCTCTTCTGCCGCATGTCCACCTCGGCAAATTGCGCTCTGCGACCTCCTGCCGCACGGTCTGCCAAGCGCTCGACCAAGTCAACGTACTCGCGGCCGTAAAAGGCTGTCGTCTCGCACGACTTCAATGACTCCGCAGCAGTCACGTCGCCCTCTCGCGCGAAGGCCCTCAGGTTTGCACATTCGACTTGTCCTCGCACAATGCCCTTGCCGTAAGCATCGCTCAGAATCCGGTTCGCTACCCGCTTACCGATCCGATTCACGTTCTCGCCCTGAATCTGCCTGCCCAGCTTCTCGACTCCCGTGCAACACTCTTTCACCTCGTGGAAAGCCATGGGCTGCCGCTTCGTACAGTAGTCGCAGGCGTATCCTGCCTGTGCGTCTTGCGCCACCTGCACAGCCCTGATGATCGCGGCATCGTCGAGCTTCCTGTCGCAAGCTTTCCGGCACGTGCAACAGACCCCTGTGATGGGGAACCGATACGGCAGCTGCACGTCCGAATTGAACCGCTGCGCAGACAACATGCACGGATGCGTGCCGTTCAGGCTTGCGTGATTCATCGGCCCGTGGAGGCTTCCAACTCGATTCCGACGCCCTGCCTTCGGCATGTCCAACGCCACCGCCTGCCCGGGACACACGACGATAGCGCGGCCTATGATTTGCGCCGTGCGCGGGAAATCCGATTTCCACAACTTCGGGTTGTCCTTTCGACGGCACGCTGGCAAAGGTACTCGCTCCCCAGTCTCTTCGTTCTTCAGATGGACGTGGTTCTGCTTTCTTTCCTGTAAGTACTGTACGTCCTCGTCGAGATACGCTTTCTCCCATGCCACAGCGTCCTGCCGAGCCTGCGTCTGCGATGCTTCTGGATGCAGCGTGCGCGTCTGAAACGCGGGCCTGCCTAAGAGCCCATCCTCGACTTTAAACTCCGGCCACGCCTTCTCGGCCTCCTCCAGCCTCCGATCGATTTCCGTCGTCGACACCTGCTCTGAATAAACCTGCCGACAAACGCGGCTCTTATACTCCAAATACCCCTCCATGATCTTCTTCCCGCGGTCTTGCACGTCCTGACGGACGATTTCGAACACCTGCTCGAGCGGAGTGTGTTGGTGGAGGCACTGTATGAATACCTGGCAGTGCGCGTGCAGAGATCCCGAGGATTTCTGCGCTTCGATGGACACGTAGTAGGCATCAACGCGCCCGAAGGCGCCCCCGCCGGGCATCGCGTTACTTCCGAACAGGTCTTGACAAGGGATGCCATCCTGTGCGTGATTGCATCGCGGGCAGTTCGGGCAAGTCCGCAGACCGAAAAAGTGCCGGAGCGTCGCGTCCACTATGATGCGGAAGCCGTCGACGCTAGCCATGGGATCACGCGCGAGTAGGCGTCTACGCTCGGCCCACGACGGCACTCCTGCCCGTGCTGCATCCATCGGAAGACCGAGGCGAGCCTCGTCGACGTCGGGGGCTACGCGCGGCCACTCCCGATCCCCCGCCACTCGTGACTGCGCCTGATCTTCTGCTGCCGCGTGCACGGGGTCCTGTCTTCGCGTGCGCGACAGGCGGAGCATGAGCAGATTGTGGCCTTCGTCGGGCGAAAAAGTTACGAAGATTGGAACGCCATACCGGACTCGAAGAGCGCTCGTCTCAAACCGCATTACACGACGAGCTTCCTGTGTACCTGGCAAGCGCCGCGACGTGTGCTCAATGTGTGTGAGGAGCTTGTGCGCGGCTTTCCCCAGATTTGGCACGTGCCGAACTTTCGTCATGTCGCCCTTGACCTTCTGCTTTCTGCCGTTGATGTCCACGTGCTTCATGTCTAGCGCGCGGTAAATCTGTTTGGCGCCTTCGCCGATCTGCTCAGGCGTCAGCTGTTCCACCTCGCCCGTGGCGCTCGGTGCCACGTACGTGAACCACGTCCTGCTCAGGTTCACCGCCGAGCGGAACACGAGGTTCCACGACACGAACCCGAAATGCCAATCGCGACACAACTGGCTCTCGACGCGACGACTCATAATCCGCACCCACAGTGGCAGCTCTACACGCGGCGCCCCATTCCCCCTGCGATGACGCGGACGCTTCATGAACTCAGGGCCATCTGGCATCCCCGTGCAGTACTTGAACAAAAACGCGAACGCGACGCCAAAGTACCAGGGCTCGAACTGATCCATCATAACGTTTCCCGTGCGCACGCGAAGGCGGTCCACGCGCTTCCCCTCGGTCGTCGCCTGCTCCAGCATGACGCGCTCCGCCGCCTCCCGCGACGTCTGCTCCGCCCCCGGGCCCGCCCCTTCGCGGACGCGAACGCGTTTACGCGCCCGTTCCGTCGTCCCGTCGCCGCCCTCTTCTTCGCTGGAATCCGACGTCCCGTTCGCATCGCCGTGCGCGCACTCCTCATCCAGCCGTTGCACGAAGGTTCGCACGGCCTCGATCCGCTGCGCATTGATATCTCCCTCGAAGAAGCTGCTCTTCTCACATACCACGGCGTTCGTCTTCGTGCTCTCCAAAATATCTGCCGCCTCCCTTACTCCGTCGGGCCTCGGAACGGGCGTCGCGGCCTTCTGCATCTGGATCTTGTCCAGGGCATCATCCAGGGGTACCAGGCGCATGATCTCCGGGGGCACGCCTTCCTCTGGCAGTTCCATTGCCCTCTTCCGAACCTCCTCCATGTCCACGTGTCGGCACGCGCGATGCCCCCGCGCTTTCGCTCCCTGAATCAGATCCACGACCACCTTCCTACGCACCAACGCCTGGTGCACGAACTTGGCCATGCTTGCAGCCGTATCGTCGTCGCCGCCAGACTTCAGTATCACAGACACGATCCCAGCCAGCTCCGCACCTGTGCGCGGCACCGGCGGCGCGCGCCTCTCCGCGGCAGTTGCGTCCGCTGCGCTCAACTGTGCTAGCAGATCCGCCCACGGCATCGGGAACGAAGTGGCGTTTCCGCGCGCCGCCATGCGGACCTCGTTGCCGCCCGCTTCCATGTCGAAATCCCGATCCTTCCGGTACCGCTTCTCCAGCGTAAAACACACCATCGACGTTATGCACACTGACGCGAAAAACATTTCCAAGACCGTCACCTTGGCGCCGAACACCTCTTCTGGCGAATAAACGGCCATGATGTCATTGGCCAGCGACGCAGGAGGGAGCGCCGCTTCGCCATGGGGCCCGGCCATCGCGTTCCCGCACTCCCCGCTCAACGGGGCTTCACAACCGGTGCATGCACTATTCACGGCGTGCGTCGTGCCGCTGTGGCACCGCATTTCCTCCGGGCAGCAGAGCACCTTCATGGGCCCGTCTCCTGATGGCACGCACACGTGCCAATCCTCGAACTCGTCCATGCGGTCTCGAAGGTGCACGCCACTGCTCCCCTCCCCAGCGCCATCTACTTCGCCGAACCGCTCCAGGTACGATTGTCCACTTCAGCAACCCCTCGAACAACTCCTGTCGAATGACGCTGAGAACGTGCGACTTGCCTGTCCCCGGGCCGCCGTGCATGCACCAACGCAAAGGCTCCTCCATGTCCGCGTCCTCTCCCGCCTGCCCGTCTATCTCTTGCATCACTCGGAGCGCCACCTTTTCAACCATCTCGAACTGTTTCGCATTCACGACGCGCCGACCCGTGTGCTTGTTGATTCGGAATTCGAGTTCCCGAACCCACTTCGCAACGTCTTCAGAAATTGCCCCAGCCTCTGTAACGACGCGCCCGGGATCTTCCGCCGCTGCAATTCTGCCCGCCATCGACCTCTCCTTGTTCCGAGACTTCCGCGCCGCTACCAATACCTGATCCACATCACAGCGTTCTTCTCTCGACCACGTGCCTGAGACCTCGCTGAGCGGCGTCTCGCCATCGCGCAGCCCCATGCATGCTGGGCTACCGACATGCCTCCTTTGGAGTTGTCGTAGTGCGAGGTGCCTGACACGACCCCGTCCGCTGCCGCGCCGTCTTCCCCGCTGCTGCTGTCTCCGTCACCGTCTTTCCGCTTCCTCCCGCCGACGCGCGATCTCAGCGCATCGTCCAGCTGATCGAAGCCCACGTCCAAGTCCTCGTCGCTCACGTCTTCGTCGCTCCTTGCTCCCACATCTTCCGCATCCCGCGGCCGCGCGCGGTACGCGCTGAGGAAATTGCCGACGTACCGCGCAGCCTTTTGAGTCTGAAAGCCGCCGCCCAACCACGTGACCATGGCGCCGTCCCATGTCGGCGCCTCTCCTCGTTGATTCCCTGCGAATACAACGTGATCGTCCGCCTCGCTGGGCCTCAGCGCCCATGGGTGGAAGTACGACATGACAATTCGCGCCGACCGCTCCGCCTCTCCATGTCGCCCGCGCGGCACGGGGGCCCCGAAGAACGTAGGTGCTGCGGGCCTCTTCTTGCGCTTCAAAACCCATGTGCGTCGGAAATGAGCACACCCCTCATCGTCTGGAAGCGGAACCCAATCCACTCCTCCATCCTCCTTGACGACATAGTCCTCCCCCGCATGGAGCTCCTCCTCTGGCTTTCTGCTCCTGCAATTTTGCTTCATTTTCTCCTTTCCACTCTCCGTTAAGACTGCGTGGTGCCGCGGATGCGATGCATCCTCCAACTTCGTCGCGTACGATAGTAGAATGGGTGTCCAATATGTGGCAAACTCATACGGCGACAGGTGCCACAGTTCGTCATCCTTCGGGCGTGAACCGTACAACATGGCAACGTCTCTGAGGGTCACTTTCCGGCGTCTCCTGTTTCTCATGTCCACTTCGGCGAACTGGGCCTTCCGTCCGTTGGCGGCGCCGTCTGCCAGGCGTTCGACCATTTCCACATACTCCCGCCCGTAGAAGGCTGTTGTTGGACATGATTTCAACGCCTCCGCCGCAGTCACGTCGTCCCCCCTGGAGAACGCCCGAAGGTTCGCACACTCCACCTGTCCTCGCACAATGCCTTTCCCGTACGCGTCGCCCATTATGCGGCTCGAGATTCGCTGACCGATGCGATTCACACTTTCACCTTGCAGCTGTCGGCCGAGCTTCTCGAAGCCTGTGCAACACTCCCTCACCTCGTGAAAAGCCATAGGCTGCCTCTTCGTGCAATAGTCGCAAGCGTACCCCGCCTGGGCGTCCTGCGCCATCTGTACGACCTCGATGATGGCGGCGTCTGCTTGCTTCTTGTCGCACGCTTTCCCACACGTGCAACAGGCCTCCGTGATTGGGAACCTATACGGAAGCTGCACGTCCGAATTAAAGCGCTGCGCGGACAACATGCACGGGTGCGTCCCATTGAGACTCTCCTGATTCATCGGCTCATGTAAGCTGCCTGTCCGATTTCGTCTGCCCGCCTTGGGCATGTCTAGCGCCGACGCAAGCCCCGGACAGACGACAACGGCTCGGTCTACAAGCTGCGACGTGCGCGGATAATCGGCTTTGCATAACTTGGGATTGTCCTTTCGACGGCACGCAGGCAAAGGTACACGCTCTCCTGTCTCATCGTTTCTCAAATGCACGTGGTGCTGCTTTCGCTCCTGGAGGTATTGGACGTCTTCGTCCAAGTACGCTCTTTCCCAAGCCGACGCGTCCTGCACAACTTCTGCCAAAGTTGCGTCTGGACCAACAACGCGTGTCTGAAACGCCGGCCTGCATACCAACCCGACCTCGTTTTAAACACTGGCCAAGCCTTCTCCGCTTCCTCCAGATTATTACAGAGTTCCTGTTCCGCAATTCGCTCTGAATAGACCTGCCGACACACTCGGCTTTTACATTCCGGGTAGTCCTCCACCAGCTTCTTCCCCTGGCCTTCTATATTTGCCCGCACAAGCTCGAACGCTTTGTCCAGCGGAGTGTGCTGATGCAAGCACTGCACGAAAACCTGACAGTGAGCGTGGAGGGCGCCAGTCGACTTCTGGGCTTCGATCGACACGTAGCAAGCATCGACGCGCCCGAATACATCACCTTCTGGAGCAATACTACTCCCGAACAGATCTTGGCACGGAGTCCCATCTTCCGCTTGGTTGCATCGCGGACAGTTGGGGCACGTCCGCACCCCGAACAGGTGACGGAGCGCGGCGTCCACTATGACGCGGAAACCGCCCACGCTCGCCATGGGGTCACGGACGGTAATTCTCCGGCGCTCGCCCCACGAAGGTATTCCAGCGAAAACGGCTTCCACTGGGATTTCCACGCGCACGTCCTCGGATGAAGGCGCATCGCGCGGCCACTGCCGCCCGCCCGCTTGCCGCGACAATGCCTTGTTCTCTGCCGCTAGATGAACCGGGTCGCGGCGCCTAGTGCGTGACAACCGGACCATCAAGAGGTTGTGTCCTTCGTCCGGCGAAAATGTTACAAAAATGGGCACGCCGTACCGCGCGCGCAGCGCGTTTGTCTCAAATCGCATCACCCGACGCGCCTCCTGCGTTCCCGCGACACGCCGCGACGTGTGCTCTATGTTCGCCAGGAGTTTGTGGGCGGCTTTCTCGCAGGCCTGGCACGTGCCGCACCTTGGTCATGTCTCCCATAACCTTTTGCTTTCTATTGTTCATGTCTACGTACATGCCTCCCAGAGCGCGATCGATTTCCTTTGCCCCTTCGCCGATTTGCTCGGGGGTCTACTGTTCGTCCACGGCTTCCGGACTTGCAGAAACGTGTGTAAACCACGTTTTGCTCAAATTCACCGCCGACCGAAACACGAGATTCCATGACACGAACCCGAAGTGCCAGTCGCGAGAGAGTTGGCTCTCGACGCGACGACTCATCACGCGCACCCACAGAGGAAGCTCCACGCGCGGTGCTTCTCGATCGCGCCGATAGCGTGGACGCCTCATGAACTCTGGCATGTCCGGCATCCCCGTGCAATACTTGAAAATGAACGCGAACGCAACACCGAAGTACCAAGGCTCGAACTGATCCATCATGGTGTTCCCCGTGCGCACACGCAGTCGGTCCACGCGTTTGCCTTCTCGCATCGCACCTTCTGCCATGTGCGTTTCCGCTCCCTCTCGCGACGACGTCCTCACGCCTGCGCCCTCTGGTTCACGCACACGGGCGCGCTTCTCCGCGTGTTCCTCACAACCCGCATTATCGCCGCTGTCGCTCGATGTATTATCTGCTCCATCATGGACGCAGTCTTCGTCCAGTCGTTGAACGAAGCTACGCAGAGCTTCGATTCGCTGCGAGTTTATATCGCCCTCGTCACAACTACTCTTTTCCACCACCACGGCGTTCCCCTTGGTGCTGTCCAAAATGTCCGCCGCCTCCTGAAGTCCGTCGGGTCTAGGCACTGGCGTCGCTGCCTTTTGCATTTGGATCTTGTCCAACGCGTCATCCAGCGGCACCAGGCGCATGATCTCCGCTGGAACGTCGTTCTCAGGAAGCTCCAAGGCTTTCCGCCGGACTGCGTCCATGCAAACATTCCCGGTGCGCTCGGTGTCCGCGAGATTTCGCTCCTTGAATGAGAGCCACGACCACGTGCCTGCGAACGAGAGCCTGGTGCACAAACTTGGCCATGCTTGCGGCCGTATCATCGTCGCCCCCAGACTTCATAATCACAGACACTATTCCAGCCAGCTCGGCGCCCGTGTGAGGCACCGACGGCGGCTTCCGCTCTGCAGCCAAGTCTTCCGCTGCGCTCAACTGCGCCAACATGTCCGTCCAAGGCATCGGGAACGACGTCGCGTTTCCACGCTCGGCCATGCGGATCATGTTATTCCCCGTTTCCATGTCGAAAGTTCGCTCGCTCCGGTATCGCTTCTCGAGTGTGAAACATACCATGGAGGTGACGCACACGGAGGCGCAGATCATTTCTAGAACCGTCACACTCCCACAGAAAAGCTCCTCTGGATAATAGAAAGTCATCGAATCATTCGCGAGCGCCGCGGGAGGCAAGAGAGGTCCCCCACTCGGCCCCTGCATGCCGCTCCGGCATTCCCAACACAAAAGAGCTTCACAACGAGAACACGTTTGGTTCTCGGAGTGCCTAATGCCGCTTGCGCATCGCAAATCCTCGGGGCAACACAACACTTTCACTGGGCCATCCCCTGAAAGCACCGACACATGCCAGTCGTCGAACTCTTCTGGCCGATCTCGCAGATGCACGCCGCAACTCTCCTCGCTGTCGCAGCTGACCTCGCCGAACCGCTCCACGTACGCGTCCACGGACATGTGTATCCTCACGAAATCGCTTGGGAGACCGAAGAAATCGCCCCCGTTGAACAAAACTTTCTGCCACTGGATAGCATCCCCCTTCCGCCCCTCGACGAATGGAAACTTCCGCGCACAGACCATGAAGATCAGCCTGCTCACAGCGTCTTCGCCCAGCCCGCGCGCGTAGTCATCAAGACATCGCCGATCGATCGCCAACGCCGCGAGAGGCGCTCCTTTTCGAATCTTCCAGGCGATAGCCCCGTTGTACACAGACCAATACTTGATATCCTTCTGCGTCGCATCTTCCGTCGAAGTGCACGCCGGCGCTGCCGCAACCGGGGCCAGCACTGCTGCGTGGTTTCCAACCGCATGCGCTCGAAATTCCGCCTCTGCAGCCCCTTGCCAAGGGCATCCATCGAATGCGTAATGTTTCTTTGGCAGAACCACTGCCCCGTGCGACCGGATGCTTCCGTTAACCAACGATGCGCCATTCGCTGAGAATGCGGAGACCGTGGGCTGATCTTTTATTGAATTTGCGATCGCTTCCAGACCGACTTCCCTTGCCCCGCGCAACCTGTCGGCAGATGCACGACTGTCAACGGCTCGGACGCGATAAGCATGAGATGCTCCTGCATTCTGTTCTGCTGCATCTGCCACCCCGTTGTCCTGCGTCTGCCCTTCCCCGCTGCGCTTCGCACTGCACGCGTCCTTCGTGTTCTTCCTATCGCCGCCGATCGCTCCGTCACAACGTGGTTTGACCCTCCCGCTCGTGCGGTCTGACAGCTGCGACTCCGACTCGGAACCCCGGATGGCCCCCCCGCGCTCTCTACTCGGCCGCGATGCCGGATGCGGCGTTGGAGGAAGAACTCCCGACAGCTCCCTTGAGCGCTCTACACCGTCGGCGCCACCTTCGAGCCTTCGCCTTTCCAACTCGGCGCCTCTCCCGGCCACGGCGTCGCAAGGCGGCGCGCTCTCCCCTGTCACGCGGGCGCGAGTCGCCGTCGCGAGCGCTTCCGGCTTTTGCCTCCGCGCAATGTCACCGCCCACTGCGCCGGCAACGCTTTCCTGTCTCTTCTCGCCCCCTGTGCCGGGTCGCCCATTCTCAGGAAACATGGACAAAGGAGCGGGACCCGCGCTCTTCTGTTCATCTCCCTCGACGCAGCTGCTGTGAACTGTTGCACTGGATTGCCGCGCTGGTTTGTACGACGTGCTGGCGATCTCCGATCCTGTCTCGCTGTGCACTTCCAGCGCCACCGCAGGGGCCCAGTCACCCCCGACTTCGCACTCGGGCCCGCGACCCAGCACGAGGCTTGAGCCTTGCAAGTCTGTTCGAGTGAAACGCATCTCCACGCCCAATTGATTTTCTATCAGCCCATCGAAACGCGAATATACGCGCACGACCACGTCTTCCGACGGCGCCCCCCCCCTCCACGCCGCACCTCTGCAAAGCAAATATCATAGTCTCTCCTGCGTGCACAGCGTGCCGTAGTTCCCCGCCATGCGAACGCAGGTCCAGCCACGCATCCCCAGCATCGCTCAAGTGACGCACGCACGCTTCGCACGCAGCACGACGCCCTTCCTGGCTGGCGAGGATCTCGTTGCACAGTCCCGCCCGCGCAAGCAATTGGAAAAGGCTGTCCGCCAAGCTGGCGCTTGCGCCGTGTCCGCGCCCCTGGCCCACACGTCGCCCTATCTGCGCAAGCTCCCAGAGTCGCCTCGCATCTGATTTGGCTTCAAATACCAACGACTTCTCAAATAATAACATGAAACGCACCATTTCCTCTTCCAAAACTCGGTGCCTGTCGACGCCTTCCAGCGCGTCGCACAGAACTTCCTGTGCTCGGCGCCGCCCCGCCCACTCCTGCACCCACTCTTCCTTGAGCACACGCATCACTGGCTCGGCGTCTCCCCGCGCGTCCTTCAAGTGGCCGAGCAGCTCCGCCGGCGCGAAACCCGCAGCCGCAAGAGTCCACGATTCTGTCGGCGTCCATTGATTGTGCAAAATTCTCAACGCACGGAAGTCGGCTTCTCGGAGCACGCGCGCGGGAGCGAAGAGATCCCCAGGCAACATGCGCACCGCTGGCGCACGACCTGGCCGAGCACCGACGGCTTCCATGGCCGAGTCCCTTCGTCGCGCTCCCGTCCCCTGCAGCGACTCCACTGCGCAATCATTCCATGAATCGTTCAGCAAGCCTCCAGCATGTTGATCTGCACTGGCGCCGCCCAGTCCTCCTCCCCCGATAGACGCCAATGCGTTCGCGCCGCTGGACTCGCTCGCTCGAACCACTCCCAATGGCGCACTGTCACATGCCGTGGCGGTTTCTTCGCGAACGTGCATCAAAAAGTGCACTGTGGAATCCTCGCGCGTCTTCCAACCTTGCACGTGGGACGGCGGAGCGCTCGATCTCACGGAGCAGCCATCGCGCATCTCCCACCGCGCGCCTGTGGCCCCCGCGCGCAGACAGCAAGCGTTATAATGCCCGCCATGAAATCCTTCTCCGTGGTGAAACACGCAGCTCACAAGCTTGAACTTCTGACCGCTGACGACCAAGGACTCGCAAGGACGAAGCATGTGTCGAATATTCTTAACTCTCCTCGTCACGGCGTCGTACGTTTGCGCGAGCAGCTGCACCCATAAACACGGAGGAGTCTTTGTAATACACCAGTCTTCCGTGGCCTCTGCGCAGCCGCACTCCTTCGGGCACTCCCACCTGAATTCCGACACCATGTGATCACCCCTCGAACTCTCGCCGACGACGTCTTGAACTGTTAGGATGTCTTTGCAGCGGCTCTTCGGGAGATGCAGTTTCAAACGCGTGAGCTCGGTGTCCCCCCTGACTTTCCGGACGCAGCCGCAGCCGGGCCGCGCGCGCACAGGTCGCTCCACCTTCTCCATGCGGAACGCTTGACACACGTCGCGCGCGCGTTCCACTTGCAAAAGCTCTTGCAAGAATTCATCTGCGTCCTCCTGGCATCGGTTGTAGAATACGCGCGGGATGGCTTCCAACTTTATAGGCCGCGTCGAACTACCGAGTTCCATTTCTACCAAGGTCTGAGCCAGCAGACCGTCAAAATCCGGCTCCCCCCCCGCTCGTTGCGCCGCGTTCCCTCTCTCTGCGAAAGACCGCCCGCCCCATTCGGCCGGGCTTCTCTGCCGCGCGACGCGCGCCGCGGCTCGCACGCTGGGGATCGCGAAGAGCGCTTGCGCAGAGGCATTCATGAAACAATAGTACCGTGGGTTCTGAGGGCCCGGCAGCGCCAGACACTCTCCGCCCTCGCGCGCGCTGCGCGCGAAATCGCCACCACGCTGCTCGTTCGCCGATCCGACAGAGGGCCCTGCGAGCACACTATTGTTCTTGCCCTAGGCCACGCGAGCGCGTGCAGCAGACCGCATCCACGGGGCGGACCTCTCAAGCAAAGCCACGCCGCGCAGCGCGCTCCACCCTCGGGCAACGCGAATGACGCGCCCTGACATGCACCAGACAACCGCTCCCACGCAGACTCCAACGGCGTCTCCCAGCGCCCACCTCTCGCTTTGCGCCACCTGCATGAAGTCAAGTGTGTCTTCCGTCGCGTGCACCCACACGAACGTTTTCCGTCGTCTCAACCAAGTTTCCACAGCCACCACGTTCTGCCTCGACTCTGGACCGTCGCCAGTTTCACCCGAGAACGCATCATTCGCGCACTCCCGCTCGAAACATCGCAGGGCGTCTCTGCGCCACCGCCCGCGCCGAATCTTCGCTACTGCAACTTGAAGGCACTTGTTCGACCACGCCCCCAAGGCACCCCCGTCGCATGCCAAAACGGCTACCGCGATCGGCGCAACGCTGGGCACGTAAGCCGACTGCGCACTTGCAACGAGTAGCGCGCCTTGGCGCACTGCGCGCTCCTCCGCATAAGCACCAGACGCAACATAATCTGCAACCGTCGCGCGGCCTCCGCTCAACGCGTCGGCTCCGCCTCGCCCCCGACGCGACTTTCGATTGACGCCGACCCCTGGCGAATGGCGCGCAGAAGCAACGCGCGCGCGTCCTGCGCGACGCGCCTTCCCCAAGTCTCGCAGACGACGCATGCCCGCGCATTCGACGCCAACCTGCGCCCTCGAGCGTGGCGCCAATGATCGAGCCGCGACAGCGGTTGCGAAAGAAGGCGGCGCAGGCGGCATTCGACGGTGTAACTTGGACGACGCTCTCCGACCGCAGACATGTCCCTGGCGGCACGCGCCGCGCGGAAAATCCCGACTGAACATCCGCGAAAGGTTCCGCCTTCCATCGTGCAACAGACTCTCTTGGGAAACCAATTGCGATACTTTCTCCCGCTGGAACCGCGACCCCACATGCGCCCGACGCCGGCGAATCCCGGTTGTCTCGCCCGCGTCTCGCAAGCGACGCGCGCCCATCGTCTGCAAGCCTCGCTGCGCCCTTGATTCCGTTTCACAACGCACTCGGGAGACTGTCCACGTTCTATCATTGTGGGGCCGAGCCTGGGGGACAATTTGCGAGAGTTTTGTCCTTTTGTCCTCCAAAGGAGGCGCGTGCATACAAATCCGCGTTAGTTTCCCTCTTCTATCGTGCATAGGAAAGGTTGTGCGAGAAAGCCGCGAGAATGTCGCCCTTCTCTCGAGCGCAGGGCGCCCCGCGAGAAAAATTCGCGATAGTTTCCCCTTTTCATCGGTCAGAACTCGCACCTGTGAGGCAAATCGCGACAGCCTGTCCTTTTTGTCGTTCGGGGAGCGCGCTCGGGCGAAACATCGCGGTCGTTCGCCCCTTCCATCGTTCAGAGAGCGCGCCCTGGAGAGGAATCGCGATTGTCCCCACATTCTATTGTCTGGAGGACGCGCTCGTGGACTGGTTCTCGAGGGCGTCCCTCTTCTATCTTTCAGCGGGCGAGCCGGGAAACAACTGTTCGATAGTTCCCCCCTCTATCATCCGGACCGTCCACGGGGCGCGCTTTTGTCAAAAAGTCGCGATAGTATCCCCCTTCTACCGTTCGGAAAACGAGAATGCAATTTTCCAGAAAACAGCGCTCCGTCACATATCATTCGTGGATGTTTGCAGTGACGCAGGGAAGACCCGGGGGACTCCGCCACGACACACCCCTCCCGGGGGACCGGCTTCGTGGACGCCGGCGCTCCATGCAGCACTGGCACAGGACCCGCGAAAAGTCCCATGCCAACGCACCCCTTTCGGGGGACCGGCTTATGGACGCCGGCGCTCCCTTCGAGATTCTGGCTCTCGGAAAGCCCTTCGGGGTTGTGGCCCCCGGATGGCCCTTTGGGATTATGGCTC